CTTCCTCTCTCTGTGCATGGCCTCTGGTGAGGTTTAAAAGAAAAAAAAGATGTGATACTCTTGGGTCGGTTTGGCAAAATACCAGTTTAGTAAAATGTGCCTTGTTTTCTCCTGTTGTTATCTAATGGCCTTAATCACCCCCCAGACCTGAGAACGAATGGAAGTGGTTTATCTGCACTCATGTAGATTATACAGGGTGGACAAAAGTAGGTTTACAGTTGTTCATATGGAAAATAATACAATAATAAATAATAATAATAGAATAAACTTCCACATACTCACAACTGTAAACCTACTTTTGCCCCACCCATTATGTATACAGCAAACCAAAGGCAAAAAATGGAATAAACAGTCTTTGTCTTTAAGTATTGCTGGAATGTAATATGTCTGCGTATATGGTTTACATTAAACCATTCCATTTTTCTGAAATGGTGAATGATCTCGATGGGCTAGACCTAGATATCCAAAGTTTTTATTACATATTCCACAGTAATATGGATACATTTAAAAATTATATACATGCACTACTATACTAATGTGTTTTCTCTCACACCTATGAAATAATAAATATAAATAAATATTGTTTGATATATTTATCATCACAAAAATATCCTGCCAAAATAAATTTCATGATGATAACCTTTGAAAACAATATATAAATATGCTTCATGGTCATGAGTTTGCTGCCAAAAGCAACATAAGAGTCTTTGTTACCAATAATTTTCATTAAAATTTTCAACATTTGGAAACAGAATTTTCTAATTAAAATCTTTTAAATAAATAGTATTATTAGTTTTGACCCATTTTGTTGCATGTTTAAGAGTGTCAAAGGTTTAGTAGAATTTAGAAGAATTGCTATTTGGTATTAGGGATGATTACAATTTAATAGACATGTTTGAACGGAAATATTTGTTTTGTTGATAAATAAGATTAAAAAGTGAGTACTACAGTGATGGGACCATTTCACAGCATCTGTTTCTAAAACCTTATTTTTTAACAGGGCTGACACAACTCATACTAGGAACAGGGTAAATGTAAGCTTTGTCATTTTCCTTATTTGTTTCTATTTACATTTTTAGTATTTGCAAATCCTGGTTTCCTTGCAAGTATTATTTTAAGCTACTTATTCATTTTGTGAGAACTCAATTAAATCAGTAAGTACACAAATAAGTTTAAGCAGGCACATATGAAAGGGACTATGCTATGGCCTAACCATCTCATAGGTAGCACACTGTGCATGACAAGTGAACATCTGATATTGGAACTGTGTGGAGGTATCAGTGCTGCTTTGTATATTAAATAATAGTTGATTTCCAATTTTATATCTACAAGGTGTCCCCCCCAAAAAATGTATACACACTTTAACAGCTGATAGCTTAATTTTAGAAATGAAACGTATTTTTAATAAACATTGTCTTTATAATTATTTTAAATGTATATACATTTTTTGGGACACCCTATCTATTACAAGTATAAATAGAACTTATATATTTTTCCGGTATTTCTATAGATTACCTTTTCATCTCATTTTGGAGATCACTGGTTGACAGGATAGGACCTGTATCAACTGCTCAGTTGACAATTTGGGCTAAATTGGAACTTCTTTGACAGCCTAGATAGTCTTTGTATCCCCATGGTTACAGATAGTAGAGTGTAAATTGTTCTTGTTTAGTGTTTTAAACTTTTTAAACTCTTCAAGTTTCAGTGTCATCTTTATCCTTTATCCAGCGAAGTAGATACCATTTCCATTATCAGATGAAGAAATTGAGGCTCCCTAATTGTGACTTGCTCATGAATAAGTGGCAGAACAAGGCTTTAAAGATCAAAGTCCTTTTTACTAGACTACACTTGTCTGGTAGCCAGTGCATTACATAAAGTATTCAAATATTTGCTAAGTATATTATTAATCAGGGAAACAGTGGAACAAGGTGTAAGTGATATTTCTGCCCTCTGTGTGTCAGAAAGCAGTTGAGAAAGAGAGCCATGGTAAATAACAAGTTCTAAAATAGATCAACATGTTTTTTTAATTGGTTAATATTTCTTGGTAGAGCTATTTGAATAGTTAATAAAATGAGTGGGAAATGGAAGAAGGGGTTTTTTGTGAATGCTTGGCAACCCAGGAATAATTTTGAAGAAGGCAAATGGATAGTTATTGAATCCCAGTAGTTTTCTAAACTTAAGTGCAAAGGTTTGGAGGTTCTTCACATTTTATGGAATTATCTATTTGCTGCAATAGAAATGGCATAAGTGAATAGAAACTTAAATTAGCCCATCTGTGCAAGGCAGTATTCAGAGGCTAATATTTATTTAAAAGAAATAAAACCCTTAGAAGAAAAATTTTGGCTACATTTCAAGCTGGATCATGTAGCCAAGATTTCAGCTTCTTAATTGGTAATAATGTCAAAAATCACATAAGAAGTATTTCACAATAGCAGGGAAAATGACAGATACCCTGGGAACATTCAAAGCAAGAAGATAACAGCACAGTGTGTGGTCCTCTGGAGTGAAGGAACTGAGGACTTGGCTTTGGGGGGGGCGGGGGCAGGGGGAAATGCCTCATTCCTCCTAAGTTGAAGCTGTCTTGCACAGTGTCCTACCTTTTATAAGGTAACTTTAGGTTCTAAAAACAAATTATTTTAGATTGGGGAAAGCTGCATAATAATATAAAATGAAATTTTAGAGTGGAAAATAATTCTGTCAATTTAATGTACCAGATATGGTACACAAGTGGCTAGCTTCCTTCGTACATTTGTTTGAGTTAAATCAACAAAAACAGTTGTAGTTTTTGGCTTTTTTAAGGATTATTTAGGATTCCTTAGATATATAAATACTCTCTATAAAAAAGGAGTGTGTCTAAACTAAGAATTATTTACCCGGCCTTATGAATATTAAATGGGAAACGCAGAGATGTAAGGAGTGTGTCATTAGGAAGCTTGAAGGGATAGGCTGGAACTTCTCGGTCAAGCTCAAGTTGCTGATAGGGGAGCTGAGGCCTGGAGAGAAGCTGGCGTCTGAAGTAACACTGAGCCAGACTTTGGTCTCCGACACCATGGCAGCACCACGCTGCTGTTCGTTCTAAACTGTGTATTTCTTCTGAGCTGTGTTATTGTTGGAATAGGCCTTGGCATTTGTTGTTCTAGCTGCTTCCTAGTGCCAGACGGTACCCTGCTCCCTGAATAAATAAAAATCCTGTTCTCACAGTGCTCACTGTGTGTGTGCCCGCCCGCGTGTCAAGAATAACCTCAGGCTGCTGTGAGAATGACATGGGTTGGTATATATAAAACAAGGCCCGGCAGGTGGAGGCCAGTGTCGTCCTGCTCTTATGGGTGAGGAAACCAGGAGTGCAGAGGGGATAAGTAATCTGCTCAGGGTCACACAGCCGGTGAGTGGCAGAGCTGAACGCAGCCTGGGTCACCACGCCTGGAAACCGTGTCCTTTACCTCTGCTCTCTACCAAAAACCTGTGACAAAAAATGGTTTCTGAAAGGACTGACTAGCCAAGGAAACACAGGTACCTGAGCAGTGGGAGATGGCCATTAGTGTTTGTAGGTCTAGAGCATTTAGGTGGCCCTTGAAGGGCTTTGCAACAATTTGGGCCTCAGTGTTTTGTTTTGTTTGTTTTGTTTTGTTTTAAGGAAAGTGGATTAAGCAGTGGTCCTTGTAACCTGTCAACCTATATTTGAATTTTTCTTCTCCGTTTCACTTTGCAAAGCCGCTTTTTTTTTTTATGAGAAAAATAATGTCTATTATCCCAAGAAATCCTGAGGCTCGAGCGATATAGAGGGAAACCCTCTGCATAGCGGGGTTGAAG